TAACACTTTATAATAACTACACCTTATTTAGCTATAACAAAGTATGAACAAAGGCTTAATTAATAATGATTCACACTTAGTAACTACTTAATTACTACCTTAATGAGCACTTGCACTTAATTTGCCTGTGCTGTAAATAGTTACTCATAATTATTTCATACTTAATTACTCATGGACTAACCATTTGAGCATTTATTAATAATTAGTAAGCTCTGAGAGAATGATTTACAAATAATGCAATGCAATGATAATTCAGGCAGCTGTTATCTGTTAGTTAAGTCTTTTGGAGAGCTTTTCTAAAGTGAAGACTAATTATCCTTTATTAAGCATTTACTAAGCGTGAATCATTATTAATTAAGTCTTTGTTCAGGCTTTATTAAGGCTAAAAAATGTGTAGTTATTATAAAGTGTTACTGTTGAATTTATTTATGCAGATTAGTAGTGCAGATAGTAATAATAATGACGATAACTTTAATATAAAAACGTTAATGATTAATCGATAATCGAACGTTAATTCTTCCGACGATTGATTAAGAAAATTTCATCGAATGCCCATCCCTAATTGATGCCTACATTTGTTCAAATCAATGTGTGGTTGTATTTTCAATTTAATGCTGTCATGATTTAAAACTAATAGTGTCTATAATGTTTCTTTTAACTGTGTGAGGAGATGACGTTCGATTAGTTTCAGTCTGTTCTCTCGTGAGGCTCATAAGGGAGATCAAGATGAGACAGTAAGTCCGATCGCGAGCGAGTTGGTCCCAAAAAAACACTAGTACTTCTGCGTTTTGGCTTCAGGTGCACATTTGTTTACATTTTACAGAAACAAGACTTAAAACCACATGGCTCAATTGCATAAACTATAAAGCGCTGATAAAAACAGCTCTTTCCTTGTGCGCTGATGCGGTTCAGCTTCTGTCGGACTAAAGGACAGGACTCAGTGGAATATGAGTGTTCTTTCTGTGACAGAGGATGTTCTGCTGATGGTGAGTCTGTTCTGTGCATTCTATCACGTTGGAGATAGTTCATGTGAAACTTTTTAGAGATTATAAGTCTGCAGGTTGTACACATAGACCGTACAGTGCTGCGGCTTCACTTACCAAAGTCGTACTAAAACATTTTTTAACACGGTAATACTGTATTCCCCGGTAAAATCCTGAGAAGGTTTAACGGTATCAAAACTTGGATACCGCCCAACCCTAATAGAGTCTGGCAGTTCCAAGGCTGAAATTATACAAATGATTCTAGTGAAGGTTTGTGGAGTGTTTTCTGCTTGAGAGAAGAATAAGATAAATATGCAGGGTTGTTGTGTTTTAAACATGTTTGAGAGAAAACAAAACACAACTCCAGGTCTGTTTTGTGATCAGGAAACAACATTATAACACAGATCAGAAAATAGCGTAACACGACTCCTCTCAGAATCAATGCGATGACAAAACATTTACTCTAGAAATTATTTGCAAATCATAACCATACAGGATTTGAACTTTCAGAACAATTCGGGGGAGAAAAATGCAGCTGCAATTTTTGTGATGATTATAGAGACTGTAATTTGATTTGCAAATGTTTTCAAATCAGGTTTCGGCTCACAGTGCTCATTTTACATCCAAAAGCAACAACATTTGAGAAAAGACCAAAATATAAACTGACAAACTAAAACAAGGAATCCTATGTATTTCATCAGAACATGTCTGTAGAGGTCTAATCTACAGGGTTAATATGTTTTTAAAGGCGCATTGTGTAACTTTTCTGGTGGAGGGTCCGTCAAAAGCTTTTTCTCATGTTATTTTCTCCATGGAGATGGTGTTTTTGAGCTATAAAACCAGCTGTAATTGAATAAATGTAAAGTAGAGCTGTTTAATGTCATACTGTGGAACATTCCAGGCAGCGGCTTTAATTCCGCTGAGTTATTGTTGATGGTACAGTGTTTGCTAAATAAAGAGCGATCACGAAAGTCTATTTAAATTGAAACAAATGACATCAACACACACTCACGACCGACAACAGTGGAAACCAGCAACAAGGAAGAGACACGCAAAACACCCAAAACCCAAACAGAAGCAAGTGCATGAGCTAATTTGACTAATGGTTAACACAAAAAATAACATAGCTTTGGTCTGGACCTCTGCCAAGGCACTGGTATAACCGCTCGCAACTGGAGCTGTTGTCAAAATAACGTTACGGCAATATATCGTGCACAGACAGAAATTAGAGCGTACTGTGATACTTTTAAGCAAAATTATTTCTTTTTGATCAGGGTTACTCTTACTCACATCAGACTGTGTGATTTGCATGTCCTTTAAGTAAATTTAAAGTTGTAGAAATCAAATACTAATCCAATTTTGGTGAATTTAGAACTAGGGCTGGGTATCATTAACGCAGGGTTTGACTACCCCAAATTTAACACTTTTTAAAGACCTTTTTAAGACCACTTCGATGAAAATTAAGACCAACGTCGCACCCATTATGCAGGCGAAAAACACCAGATCAAATTCTAATAATGACCAATCAACTACAGGACTCTATCTAGAATCTAAGGCTACGTTTATATGATGATGGTCCTAACAGAAAAAGTGGCGTAGCGTCTTCACTTTTTATTCCACGTTTAGACGAGTGTTTTCGGAAGGAAATCTGCGTGCATCCATACGGTGATGCAAAAGTGTGTGGAATTGGATTAAGTATGCATGCCAGGGGGCTCGGTGGTGACGCTCGGTGGTGATCTATGTGACGTAAACATGTATGCGACGTGAGCAGATATGACTAGACTTTTGCGTCTTGGGCAGTGTAGACGAAACTGATTGTTTACTCCTTGCCGCCGGCGCCAGAAACTAAAGTACTGTTTGTGCATACTCCAAATTAGACATTCATTCATGTTACGTTATTTCACGTTTGTTGTTTTTTTAACATTCCTTCCATTTAGTAAGAAAACAAAAAAATAGGCTAATGAAATTGAAGACCTTTGTGAAAAAAAGAAGACAACATAATTTAAGACTTTTAAGGCCTTAATTTAGGTACATGAATGTTAAGACCTTTTTAAGACTTGCCGATACAATACATACCTCGATACATGGACCACGATACGATATATATCTGGAGAGCATTGAGCACTTTCGATTCAATACGATACAGTTCAATAAAAAATAAAGTCTAAACGATGGCTGTGATACTAAAAGTCTTTGTTTACTAAAAGTCTTTTGCAAAGTTCTTATGAAAAACAAACATTTTAATCATCAAAACAGTGAAAATGTCAAATGTGTCGCATAAACGAGTTTCCTTCCTCCGAACAAACAACAAAACTGTAGCGTTGTAACAAAATAATTTAGTAAAATACACCAAAAAATACTCTTGGCGATATATCGATACAGCAGCCCATGATATCGATACTGTATCATCATATTAAACGATACGATATATTGATATTTCGATATTTTTGCACATCCCTATTTAGAACAGCAGCCACATTTCATGAGCTATAAAATATTTTTCAGTAGACGAAGACAACATGCATGTGGTCTGGGTTTTATGTAGCCTGTTTTTACAATAATAGTTTTTGGGAAGATTCAAATTTATAAGACAAATTTATAAGACTATAGTATGAGGTTGGATCTCATTACTTATACATGTTTTGTCTTTGAAGCAGGTGAAGTTGGTATCTTGCTTCAAAAATGGTGTTGGTAAATATGAGTATCCATTTTGTTTATTTTATCGACTAAATTGTACTGTTTTTCTTACCTGTGCCCTTCGGTCCGACTCCTCGTTCAAGATCTTAAGTCTCCAGGGCAGACGGGGGCACCAGTTCTCCACCTGGAAACATAAAACAGAAAAAATAAGAGAGAAGCGAGCACACAGTATTATAATTTTTGTGATTATTATCTGATTTCTGTAGTTGTCTGGTTAAATTCAAAACAGCAAAATCTGACTTGGGTAATACGGTTTGTTTTAAGTGTTAAAGGTGAACTGCATAAATATTCTGCGTGTCTCTATGGAGTCTGGAAAGTTGCATGGTATGACATTAAACTTATCCATCTAGAATTTCTTCATTACAGGTGTTTTTATTGCTCAAAAATACAATGATTCCTTCAGTGAATAGTGGCGACTCTCCACAGATCTGACCTGTAATGTAGCGGACTGCTGTAACCTGCTCGTCTCCCCCTCACGATAAACAGGTTTAATCTATACTGTGGAACATTCTAGACAAAGCAATAACATCTCCATGGAAACAAGCAGGTCTATGTCGCGAGTAATAACATTAAAGAGGGGGTATTATATACAAAAAATATAAACTTTTTTTGAGCTTTCTATCACGTTATAACACTGTTCCCTCATCAAAAATAAGCTTGAAGAGGTTTTAGATGTCAACCGTGCATGTTTGAGTAATTTAGCGATCTCTCCCAGCTCTATTCGAACCCTCCTCCGTGCTCACTCTCTACAAATACACAAAAACATTACACAAAACTGTACACAACAACTTGTCAAACCCGATGCGATGTGCAGTAGTTTAATTAACGCTCTGGTGTGGAGAGAAAAAACTAAACTTATAAATGTTAATATGTTGTTTTTTAGCAAATATAGCATTTTCATAATAAACGCTGATACGGTGATCTAAATATTTTATGTGTTACCAGTTAATACCCCACAGAAATAAAATAACGCTTCTTTAATCAAATTTAGATCCAAAAGAGCCACTATTAGACCTGTTTTATGTATTATTATTATTATTAGGGATGTAACAATAACCAAAATATCGTGATATCGTATCGGCAAAAGTCTCACAATAATATCGTGGACTGTCACAATATATCGAATCACAAGTTTCTTTGCTTAAATACATGATTTTACAGTAGGAACAGCTTATAAACATCAGGAACTACATATCCCATGATTCATTTCTGCGCAGACAACATGAAGAAATGTGTTTTTTACTTGAATTCTGAGGATTATGACAGGAATAATTCACACCAAAATCTTGTCAGGGTATTTTAAAATGCAAAAAATTGTCCCATCTACAATTATATCAGCCTTTTTAAAATATCGCAATAAATATCGTACCGTGAGATGCATATCGTGATAATATCGTACCGAGAGATTTGGATATCGTTGCATTCCTAATTATTATTTATTATTTTTTATTTAGCTAAAATGACAAGTTAACATATTTTTATTTTTATGGTTTATAGAGCAAGTATAAAAATCAAAATTTCTTATTCAAATTCCAATATTTAACACAGTCCTTTTTGTATTTCGCACATTTCTACACCACAGAATGCCCCAAAGTTTAGTGTATTTTCTTAAACCATCACCTGTGGCAGATGACACTTTATCATCGCTGTGAAAAACTCTCAAAAGCCCGAGAGTTTTTTGTTGCGTAAGCAGTTGTTTTTCGCCGCAGCTGCTTCACATGAAAATACATGCATGTCGCCATGGCAACAAGCGCGGTCGTGTGACTGGAGGAAGCGGACAGCTGTGAGGTTTCAAACACGGCATCTGGATTAAATTATGATGGGGGAAAAATAGTCCCTAGTCTTTGGAAAAATTGCCAACAAAAAGATATTTTAAATGATAGATTGGGATTTGTTTTTATAATCGTTCATCTTTGTGCCAATTGTGGAAATAAATTAAGTTTTATAACGCCACAATACATTTTCTGATTAAATATTTCAACCAGATTAAAATGGTCCACTGAATATTTGCACTACTATGTGACTTTTCTTGTATGCTTGTTTCCATGGAGATTATTTTAGAATGTTCCACCTTGCATCTATTTCAATTTAGGTGTTTTTATGTCTTATTCTGTGTCACTTCTCCACAGATCTGACTTGTAACTTGGTTTACTGGCATCACCTCCTTGTCTCCATGTCTCCAAGACTACCTTAATGCCTTACTGTGGAACATTCCAGACAAACTATTAACATTGCCATGGGGACAAGCAGATGGCCAACTCTTCACCACAAAAGTACACTATAGCTATCCTCTTAAATACGGCCTTCAGTTCAGAAAATCACGTTAAAGTTTGAGTTTTTAAAATGCTGCGTGATGAGGAAACAAAACAGAACTCTTAAAAGTAGTTCTTAAATACTGTATTTTTCGGACTACAACTCGCACTTTCTTTCATGGTTTGGGTGGTCCTGCGACTTATATATTAAAATTTTCAGACAGGCAGTCGCGAGAGGCTCTAGGCTTGTGTGTCAGTTTTCTGCGCATGTTTCCTGGAGAAAAAGCCACTGTCCTGCTGCAAGTAGTGAAATATTCAGCAAAAAAAAAGGTAATCAAATAGCAAAAAAAAGTTTGAAGTGAGCAAGTAACTTGTGAGGGACTGGCGAAAAACGGGGACGGACAAAACAGCTTCAAGGGAAAACGACTTCATTGGATGGATGGATAAAGTCTGGACTTCAGTGACACTGAAACCATCCTGTCGGGATTCAGAAAGGCCTAAATAATTCGAACTGGAACTGATGCTGAGTCTGACGACAGCGACACAGCGACACAGAAGGTTACGGAGTTGCTCAGAAATACATCGAGGATGAAGAATTGAATGGATTTAGTGATTTGGAGTGAGATGGAGAGTTTGTTAAACTTGTTCTGTTGTTTATGTTATATTTATCTGAAGAACTGTTCATATGTGACGTTAACAGTCTGTCGTTCTCTGTTCTATTCTTATGAACTTGCCTTTCAAGATGAAATGTTGGTTCCTGGTCTCTGATTTTATAAAATACATTTTCCCCAAAAAGTGCAACTTATATGTTTTTTTCTTCTTCATTACGCATTTTTTGGCTGATGCGACTTAGTCTGGAGCGACTTGTAGTCCAAAAAATATGGTAGTTTTTGCACATATATCCTCTTCTGTACAGTTGTATTTTTATAAAGTTCTATCCTTTTTCTTGGTTTCTACTGGAGATTGTATAGTCGTGTTACTTTAAGTGTTGTATTGAGGTCAGTGTGAACTAAAGGCCTTTCTGGAGCTTTTCCTGCTCCTAATGGATTCCTCTGTTGTCCATATAACTCTATTTCTCCACCTACACTCCCATACAGAGCCTCCCCATCCACATCCACATCCGATTTGTACTGCAAAGCTTTCAGTCCGTATACAATATTCATGCCACACAGCTGACCACTCAAAATCCCCAAACACTCTATAAAGTTTTACACAGTGAGGAAAAATAACATCACTTTTGGGCCACAAACAATGTACAAGCTCTGTTTGAAAATGATGGCTTTATAACAGAAGTTTTACTGTAGTTTGAGCAAATAAAACCAGTGTTGAAATGTGCAACTTTCCAATTTTATGTTTACATTTTAAGAATTTAGTAGTGATGAGTGGATATTAAATACAGGGGGATGTAGTCTGCTCCACCTTGGGCCAGTCCCAAGTCTAAATAAATAAACAGGGTAGAATCAGAGAGGGCATCTGACATAACGCACACTGTTTATGCATAAGAAAAGACAGTTTATTGTGGCAGATGATGATTAATTATTCCTTTAATTTAATTCCAGCTCCAGCTCATTGTGCCTAAAACGAGACTTAAAACCGGGGGACACAGGGCCTTCTCTGTGGCCGAACCCAAACTCTGGAACGTTCTGCCCCTCCACGTCCAAAAAGCCTCACAGTGGAGAGTTTTAAGTCTCGTCTTCAGACCCACTTTTATTCTCTGGCTTTGAACACCATGTGAGTTGTGTAGTCCTCTGTGCCTTTTTTTAATTGTTTTTATTTATTTATGTATTTATAGTTTTTATTTATTTACTTATGTATGTGTTTATTGTTTTTATTTATTTATTTATTTATGTATTTATTGTTTTTATTTATTTACTTATGTATGTGTTTATTGTTTTTATTTATTTATGTATTTATTGTTTTTATTTATTTATGTATTATTTATGTATTGATTTTATAATTTTTATTCATTGATTTTATTATTATTATTTTATTTATTGATCATTTGGTTTCCTCATGGTTGAAACATAATTCTGCTGATTTTTAAGTGAATTGTTTTACATTACTATGTGAACCACTTTGGAAAGTGTCTTGTTTATAAAATGCGCTATACAAATAAAGTTGGATTGGATTGGATTTCATTTTAAAAAAGAGTTGCACTATGTAACTTTTCTGGTGAGTGGTTTGCCACCTGTTTGTCTCCATGGAAATATTTTTGTGTTCCATTTTGTATTCACTCAACTCAAGGTGTTTTAGAGCTCAAAAATACCTAGAAACACATGCATTCTTACTTTGAGCATGGGCCTCTATAGATCTGACCTGTAACTTGGTCTGGTTCACAGAGATAGACTTTAGGTTTAATGCCATACTATGGAACACTGGGAATACCAGGTACCACAGTGGGACACCAGTGGCAAAAACTGTTGTTGTGTCATTGGGAAAGGCACTTCACCCACATTGCCTTGTTTGATTGTAGTGTGTGTGAGTGATGGTGGTCGGAGGGGCCAATGGTTCAGATCACAGACTGTATATATACTGTAATTCCAAATAAGGGAACATGGGGGCACTTCCGGCTCCTTCTGACCCTGGCTCCCTTTGACTTACGCTGAATATTGTTTCCTCCTCTGCCGCTGTGAGCCTCGTCATTTTGGTCTTAAAATGTTCGTATTAACCCGCACTACATAGGGCCGGGTATCATTACGAAGTTACAGATACAGTGCACTTTTGATTTAATACGATATATTTCAAATCAATTCGATACGATTCAGTAAGAAATAAAAGGCTAAATCTTGGCTGTGATACTAAAAGTCTTTGTTAAACCACTTCTTGTGCAAAGTTCATATGAAACACAAACGTTTTAAATCATCAAAACAGTGAAAATGTCAAATGTGTCGCATAAATGAGTTCATTTCCTCTAAACAAACAACAAAACTGTAACGCTGTAACAAAATAATTTAGTAAAATATACCTAAAAATATATATATCGATACAGCAGCCCACAATATCGATACTGTATCATCACATTAAACGATACGATACATCAATATTTTGATATTTTTGCACACCTATAGCGATGTCACACTCATTTAGTCCACTTTTTTATGCAGTCGATGGCGCAGATTGGCAGACTCTCTTCTGTCAGTGGATACTATGGTTGTGATCGTAGTTTAGTGACTTTAAGCGCCTGGAAAAGAACTATATAAACCCAAAGACGAATTAAAAACTAACATCCACGCTATAGGAGTCGAGCAGTTGACCCCAAAGAGCCTGCAGGACACAAGTGCCTTAGGCGATTAGATTCTGCACCAAATAAAAAAATAATCCATGAAGTTTACCAGTCTGCGGTCAATATAAATATTAATGTTATCGATGTTGAGACCTTTGACGAGCTTCAAAAATAAATCCTGCCCGGCTGAAAGCATCGCCGTGGTAACAGTAAAGCGCTTATATGTTGCGGCGCGTGTCAATAATGCATGAGGAAGAGCTATAGACAAGAGGAGAGTGTGGAGGAAGCCGGAGTCAGAGCACTTCTGCCTCTCACGCGTTGGATGGAGCATTATTATTTAACAATATAACCTCAAATGATTTATTCTGTTGACTCATTGTTCTTTACGGAACGGCACGACGCTCGTTTTAAATGTTTCTGTATTGTCGTCATTCACGTAAACAGTGTCGTGGCGTGTTTGTTTTACAGTGAACAATTACAGCTAATAAATGTTAACTATTCATAATTCCTGTAATGATTAATTAAATATCAATTAATTATACTGTATTAAAGGTGAGCTAAGTAACATTTCTTATCTGTGTTATTTTGCTGATGTGACCGGTTCTTTTGCTTGCTACCAGCTTCTGTTCGTGTAAATAAATAATAAATGCTCTTTTAATAAAATAATTTCAGGTATATTAAAACAAAAATGTACACAAGCCTCCTTTTGCTATGTGAGCTTTTTTGTTCCGATACTTTTTTGAGATTTATCGTTAACTCGGTGCACTCACCTCACTGAGATAGATGAAGAAGGAGCAGGTGGTTCCGTCGACGCCGTAATTGCCGTAACACGCGTCGGAGCGCCACATCTCCTTCATCCACTGCGAAACAACAGAGAAAACACGTGAGAAAACGCACTCGATGAAAACACACTGAGCTACAAAGTAATTTTATATAATCTGCTACTATAAAAACTAAAGTCACATTCACAAGACAGAAATTAAAGTTTCTTGAAACTTTAGAATGATTTTGAGCTGTTTCAGAACAAGACCACATGGTAAAATAAAAGAAAATGCTACGATTTAATGTTGAAAATCACATTATATTGCCTGAAGAAAGAGTCTAGTCTATTCCCTAGTATCAAAATTGAGTTTGAAATGTTTAGTATTGTGATAAAACTACTACTGAAGCAAGTGTTTTGTATAAATGTCTTCTTGATTTTACAACGCGTCATTCATTTGATACTGCGAAAATGATGTGTTGAAGTGATCAGAAATTAAAATACAAAACATAATACAAAAACAAAAGATATGTTGTTTTTCTAAAGGCAAAGTATGGTCTTAATAAAGATTGACTCAAAAGGCAAATTTCAGCAAAGGGGCAACTGTTCAGTTTGCATTTATAAATATTATGCTTAACATGTTGTTTAAAAAAGCCCCAGTATTGTAACTCTTTTGCCATAGATAGATGTAAATAAAAGCATGTTTTTTGTTGTTTTTTTCATTTTGGTTATGTGGTTTTTATGGCACTGAAAACCTTGAAATTCATGTGTCCTTCTGTTTCTTACTTAACCTGCTTGTCTCCATGGAAATCTTGTTCTTTTGGCTACAATAATCTAGTCAGGCTGGTGCCCCCTAGTGTTTCCACTCAATTTTATTTCTCTCCAGCGACTAGGTCAAGAATCAGAATACAATAGACGATTTGCAAGAACCACGGAAGCGAAAGTTCAGGCACCGGCCAATCAGCAAAGAGCCAGACATTCTGTGTTGGCAACGATTCCCAAGATTGAGGATTTAAAGCTGGAACAAAGAGAATGTTTGGTGAATTTTATCAAGGGGAAAGACGTTATTGTCCTTCTTCCAACGGGATTTGGGAAAAGTTTATATTCTAGTTAGCCCCGTTAGCGGCGAATTACATACATCATGACTAAATAGCAGCGATTGGTTAACCACAGAGTGAACGAATCCTAATGCTGTGAGGTCAGACGGTTTCCAGGAAGCGAAACCGGCGGATGAATCAGGTTAGTAGTCGACTCCCTAGTATCAAAATTGAGTTTAAAATGTCTAATATTGTGATAACGCTACTACTGACGCAAGATTAGTGTTTTGTACAAATGTCTTCTTGATTCTTCAACTTTTGAAACTCCAAAAAGATGTGTTGAAGTGATCAGAAATTAAAATTCAAAACGTGTAATGTTTACAGTAAGTCAAAGTAATACAAAAAGAGAAGATATGATGTTTTTCTAAAGGCCAAGTTTGGTCTAAATAAGATTGATTAAAAAGGCAAATTTCAGCAAAGGTCAATTGTTCAGTTTACATTTATAAATTTTATGCTTAAAGATTTAAATTTAAAGCCCCAGTATGTAACTTTTTTGCCATAGACAGACATAAATAAAAGCATGTTTTTTCATGTTGGTTATTTGGTTTTTATTGCACTGACACCATTGAAATTCATGAGTCTTTCCTGTGCGTGGGCTTGCATCTCCACAAACGTGACTCTTCCTTACTGTTCCTTTGGCTACAATAATCCGCAGTATGGCGTAAAACGAACCTATCTCCACGGAGACAGTCCCAAAGTATGGTTTTAACTGTCTATCATGCAGTGACACCTCCAGAAAGTTACACAGTGCTGCTTTAAGCTTTGACAACAAAAGAAAAGTAACAGAGACATTTGAGCTCAGAAGACATCAGCTGTCAATCTCCCTTCAGCCAAAGAGAAAAAAAACAAAAAAAAACCAAGTCAAAGATAACTTTCTTCTTTATTTTTGAACAACAAAGCCCCCCGGAGCGCTCTCATTTCCATATTAGACATTTGCTTTCTTCATATATTTATTATTTATTTCAAACTGGCATAGAGCTTCCTCCCTTCCTCCCTTCCTTCCTTCCTTGCAGCAGATTTGGCAGAGGCTTGAATCTGTGTTTGTTTTTAAGGACAATCTTTGTGGCCTGGAGAATACAAGATCTGTGCCCTAAATCCTTGGAAATCCAATACTAAAAATGTCCCGTGATATTACGCCTGGAGGAGATCAGTTGTTCTCTCTGACTGGTTTATTGTGATGAGGAAAAACAACTGGGTGAGTATTAGACTTAGACATGTTTCTTATAAGCGTTTGGCCGATGTAATGAGAAAGATTTGGCGTAATTTGGTCCGTTTTTTGCATTATTGTGAAATTGCTTTGAATAAAACATGTTAGAAAATGGCAGAAGTGGGACCAAGTCATTGTTTTGCAAGTGTCAAGTCTTTGACCTCAAGTCCAAGTCAAGTCTCATGTCAAATACAGACAAGTCCAAGTCGAGTCTCGAGTCACTGGCCCATAAATCCAAGTCAAGTCCAAGTCATCTGCTTTGAGCTTCAAGTCATTTCAAGCCTTTAAACCAATGTACCAAATATAGCTGAGATTTTTGCCATTTATATGAATTTTAAACTAAATTGTACTTAACAAAATCACAGTATATTTATATATGAGTATTTATAGACAGTGTTGGGAAGGTTCCTTTTAAAATGTATTCCCCTACAGATTACATACCCCAAAATCCACGTAATCCATTAAATTATTTAAAGTGAGTAATGTAATCTGAATACTTTGGATTACTTGCTTTGCTGTAGAGAAGCAAAGACTAGGATAACTTCACATAAATCTGCTCAAAGACAATAAAAATGCCCAGGCTTTACTTAACTGTATTAAAAATATTATTGATAGAAGAGGAGGAAACACGGTCCGAGCAGCATGGTTTAGTCCTGTTAAATCCTGTTTTAGACTTGGTTTAGTCTTGGTTTAGTCCTGGTTTAGAGCTGGTTTAGTCCTGGTTTAAACCTAGTTTAGATGTGGTTTTAGACCTGGTTTAGACTTGGTTTAGACCTGGTTTGGACCTGGTTTAGACCTGGTTCTAGTCCTGGTTTTAGTCCTGGTTTAGACCTGGTTTTAGACCTGGTTCTAGTCCTGGTTTAGACCTGGTTTTAGACCTGGTTTTAGACCTGGTTTTAGACCTGGTTTAGTGTCCAGCAATGAGTGGAATTACCGAAAAAAAAAAAAAAGGGAAAAAAAAGAAATACCCCAAAATGTGAAAACAGGAAAATACCGCCGTGTAATCCATTTATTTCAACCAAGTAACTGTAATCCAATTACCACTCACTGAAACAGTAACTGTAACTGAATACAGTTACTCATAATTTGTACTCTGATTACGTAACTCCCGTACATGTAATCAGTTACTCCCCAACACTGTTTATAGAGTATGTAGGAGTAGTAGAAATGTAAATTTTTCCTTTTTAAATGTCTTGACGAGATCTTAGAGTGAATCATTACGGTCAGAACAGAATGAATTCAGATTTAAAAGTGCTAAATAACAGTTATTTTGTCATGTAGTTCTCTGTAGTTCCCTCTGTTTTACTGTATTGTACTGTATTTACTGCATGGTACTGTATATTATTGTAGTACAGGGGTTTCCAAGTAGCTCACCAAGAGATTTCTGAATTATATGCAATGTGCTGAATAATGACTTCAATGGCTCGTATCATTGTAAATGTATAATTTTGCTGTCTAACTGCAGTAATAAATGGTTGATGTTTTATAAGTATCTACCTGTACCCCATCTAAGGCCGTGGCTCTTTCATATACTCAATTTCTTGCAACCGTTAAAATGAGTAGCTCTCTGGTGTTTTTGTTTTGTAAAGGTAGCTCACTGGAGGAGAAAGGTTGGAGATCCCTGCTGTAGTACATCTGAGGATACCATATCACAGTACTTCAGCCACAAAAGGACCAAACAGAAGTGAGAGGGACATGATCCAGTTTGTTCCTGTAAAATTAAGCTCAGAATTTATCAATGAAAAAAAGAAAAGTATTATCTAAAAACATATATATTGTTTTAAGAGAAGCGTCAAGTCTTCTCAAGTCACAGGCCTCAAAGTCCATGTCGAGTTCCAAATCTTAGTCCGTTTTATCGTTTTATGTCGAGTCTCAAGTCCTAAAAACAGAGTCCAAATCACGAGTTGCAAGTCCCCGCCTCAGGAAAATGTTAAGTGGGAGATAATGCGTGAGAAAGAAACAAAACACAATGTCAGGAATGTTTTTGAAAAGGTTAAAGCATATAAAACCTTAAATGGAGCACTATGTTAAGTATGTTTCTGTCACGATTGTCTGGAAACACGTGAGCTTCGCCACCTCTGCAAGTTATCTGTCAGAACTGTGGAGAGACGAGCCCAGTGACAGAAGGTATTTGTGAACAGCAATGTAAAGAAAGACGTGTGTTTAAAGCCATATTGTGAACTGGACTGGCAGCCTTTTGTTTCGAGTCATGTTTAGATGGAGATATAAAAGTATGTGAGCGGGAACAGTCACATGGCTTCATATAATCTAGAGGAGTTTCGACAGTGTTCACTCAGAGATAAAAAAGCAGACGTTTGAAAGCCAAAAAACACAAGATCGCTCCCAAGAGAATAATAAAACTTGCCAATATCCTTCCGAAACCACTCACGACGAACTACAAATGACAAAGACTTTTATTTTCTAATGTACACTACTAAATTTTGGAAAAAGTTTGGACACACCTTCTCATCTCAATGTTTATTTATTTATTTATTTATTTACTTATTTTTATTTATCTATTTATTTTTTTTATTTATCCATTTATTAATTAATCCATTTATTAATTTTTTTATTTATCCATTTATTTATTTTTTATTTATCTATTTTTTATCTATTTATTTATAAAAAAATATATTTATCTACTTCTTTTTGTATTAATCTATTTATTTATTTATCTATTTATTTATTTTTTATTTATCTATTCATTTATCTATTTATTTATTTATTTATTTATGTATCTATTTATTTTTTATTTTTATTTTTTATCCATTTATTTAATTTATCTATTTATTTATC